GCATGATTTGGTATGTGCTTCGCAGCTTCAAAGTGCAATGTAGTATTGAAGGGCCGGACCGATAGGCCACCGGTTCTAGCTATCAGTGAACATCCACTGGAGGTTGCGGCTCAGTTTACTTATCTGGATAGTTGTGTTACCTGTGGTGGTCATACCACTGAGGTAGCTACTTCGCGTATCGGGAAGGCCCTTGTGGCTTCTTAGAAGCGCCAAAATCTATGCAGACGGCAAGATATCAGCCTGTCAGTGAAAGGTAGGGTGCGTAACGACGCGATAAAGCCGGTGTTACTGCAAGGGTCAGAGACCTAGCCAGTTCACAGTGAGGACGTTAAACACTTGCTCGTGTATATCACCAGTGTTTGTGGAGTATTCCCGTATCTGATGGGAACACCAGGTGAGCAATTCTGAAGTCCACTAGTTGGTTTTTGCCAAGAAGCTTTCGGGCGCCTCACTCGAGTGTTCCCTGAATCTTAACCGTCTACGTTGGCTACGTCGCGTTCTCCGTATGCCCGCTGAACCGCTTCCTCGGCGTGTACTATACGCCAACGTTACATCAAGTGGGGCGAAACCGCGAGATGGTCAATCGTTGAAGTGGCATAAAGGCATTAAAAATTGACCGAGAGACTTGGTCACGTTGGTGCGTGCGACCTTCATGGATGGGGGCCCCAACATGGTCCACACCAGTGGCTGAAGAATATGACGGACACAGTCAGCTGCGCTTCTACTCAAATTTTTGCATCTAGCTATCGATTTTCAATCTATCCCGATTAGTTTTGCACGCCTCTTTCTTGTATGCATTTTCTTTCAATTTCATTTAAGTTCAACTTCAGTTTCTTACCATTGTTGTTTTTTATTCTGGCGACTGAAGTCGTGGTAATTGGATCTATCGCACTTGGTGCTTGGGTCACAATTGTACAAATCAACAGAACTGAATAACTGACGTCCTGTAATGATGGAATATCAGACCATAGGTTCCTAGATTGGAGTTAAGACCAGCACCGTTTTGCAAAATTATCATCAGTACACGTCAGCTGAAGCTAAGGAACACTTCAGTTATTGTGCCGCAGTACGAAGATAAGACATAAGAAAATAGCGGGATACCAAACATTGCACAAAACAAACACAAGCAATGTAATGTTTAGTACCATATTATGCGTCGAGTGTGAGATTGTGGTTGATGCGGAAGCTAGGCGGGAGGGACAAAGAGATTCACAACACAAACGCCAATGAAACCAGCTCTTCGCTATATCAACCAGTGTATCCAACCAAACATGTTCATCAACCCTATGTTATAGCTCTGCCTGCGCAAAACTACAACCATCAGTAGAACAAATTGTTGGGCTCGCAAGACAGTAGAACAGGTCAGTTTCGGCAGTACGCAAAAGTTATTATGTCTGGCCTCAAACACAACGCTTCATACAATTTAAATCAGTCCGATCAACGGTTAATTTGGTGTTAGGTTGGCACCTACTGACGCGGGTGGTTTCAGTCAATAAGAAAGTGAAGTTGGCTCACGCAGATGCCAAATTCCTCCTCCCTTTATTTGGAACTGCCCCAGCTAGACTGGTTTTGATCGATCGTCGGCGCACTGGGCCTGAACGGCGACCATGCGAGGCTCCGGTCGCCTTCCAAATCAGTGAGCGGGTTTGTCAGTGTCGACTTCCAGAACCGAAACAGAGCGGGCACGGACATCGTCTTTGTACCGAATGACTACTTCACCGTCTGAAAGAGCCACTTCTGTATTCTGTCCCGCAGCTTTGTGAGGATCTACAAACTGCCAGTTCGTTCCGTACTTAGACTTATCTTGTTTGGCCATGACACGTTGCCTTCGGTAGGGAAACCGCAACTCCAGCCAGGTCCGTAATCATCACCCAAACATTAGTTCGCCGGGCCTCTTACCAGTCGTTTCGTTCAATGTGGAGTGATAACCAAAAAGAAATTTGACTAGGTTCGTTCGTAATGGAGTCGGTGGTTTTTTCCTAACCCATTCATGACCGCTCTTTCAGCTAATCCAGTAGATGCGGAGTGACAAGGGGCTGACTTTACATAACATATGTCATTGTTTTGCAGAAACACCTGAAATCGTTGACTAGTAAACACGTATCCATTGCCCGTCACTAGCGCGTGTGGCATACCGTAGATTGTAAAGTACGACCGCATGCATCAAACTTCTATCCTGATGTGACCCGTGTTAGCGGGAAATTTTCTATACATTTTGAGTAGGCATCGATCAAGAGAATAAACATAGTTTCGTCGTTCGGACCAAAGAAGTCAGCATGTACACGCTCTCATGGCTTACTGGGCCATTTCCATGGGCTGAATGGTATCGGAGGGGCGCTCCTTTGTTTTTTGACAGGCTTCGCAATATCGGAGTAACCTCTCGATATATCTATCAATACGGGACAACCACACATAGGATCGCGCAAGTCCCTTCATCCTCGTAAATCCCACGCGAGCTTCGTGTAACTTGTACAACAGCCGGTCGCAACCGAGGTAGTATGATCACTATGGGTCCGCAGAGAAGGTATCCATGTTCATGACTAAGTTCGGAGCGTGTGGCCGCTGTGGATCGCACTTATTAGACAAGCCCTGGGACACTAAACACTTGATCTTGGCAAGTAGGGTGTCCCATTCGATTTGTTGACGGACACATCTGCGCTTAGCCTCAGGTTTCCAACAAAATGCTGAAGCAAATGAACCAATTCAGCGGGTTTTAATAGCCAATCGGGGCGCTGACAACCGTAAGTGGCTTAGAGCGTCGGTGACTCCATTCACTTTTCCAAGGACATTTGAGATTTTGTAGATGTAGGCCGAAAGCAGTAAGGACCCAGGCTGCATGCGAGGGGACGCCATGTCGCTGATGCCCTTTTTCTTGCCAATCAAGGTTAGTAAAGATTTGTGATCTGTAAAAATTTCGAACGTTCTTCCCACAGATATGGGTAAAATTGCTTGACCCGAAATATAACCGCCAAGGATTCCTTGTCTAGCAGGGCGTAATTCCTCTCTGCTGGTGTCAAGCCCATGGAAGCAAAAGCTATAGGTCGTTCGGTCATGTCATTCATTCTGTGAGATAGCACGGCTTCGAGCACTGTGGGTGGTGCGTCGCATCGGAGAGTAATCGGGCTCTTCGGATCAAAGTGTACCAGCAAATTAGGCTTACTCATTGCCAGCTTGACAGTAATATAAACATTTTAGTGTTTTGGTGACAACAGCGAAAAATTACTCTTACGCAGCAATGCATACAAGGGCGCGAGAGTAGTGGTTAAGTTGGGTAAAGAGCGACTGTGATGAGTCGCTATCCCATGAAAGGATTGTAGTTCGTGGATGTTACGCGGTGTCGGTGAGTCCAGAATGGCTTGAATTTTCTCTCGTGACGGATATAACTCGTATTCACCTAAACGAAACCTTAGGGATTCAACGCTATCAGAGAAAAAACACTTGGATTCTATGAGTTTAAGCCCGCTGGCCTGGAGCCGCTTCAAGACAGTAGCGAGTGAAGTCAAGTGTTCATAGTCTGTACAACCAGTAACCAAGTTATCATCCAAGTAAGCACACACTTCAGGTATATGTTTAACTAAATTGTAAATAAATAATTTATTCTCGAATACTTCGAGGCCCACCAAATTTGGCATGATCAAAATTTACAAGCGATTGTTCCGCAATAGGCAAATTGCTTTGCATGAAATGCGCTGTTCGCACAAGATATAGAAGTTACCGAAATTGCGAATGTATTGGTCAGGAACGGAATCTTTAATGATGAGGCGAAATTCTGGGATCAAAAATGTGTAAAAGCGTAACAAATAGTGGAGACGGAAGGTAGAAACAGGGAAGTGTCTTTTTAGTGTACATATCCAATATATATTGAAATGATGTGAAATGTCGCTCTGCTTAATCTGCCAGTGTGAGTTTGTGGGCAGTGACTTTATTCAGTGGCAAGTTACATCCGCCATGTTGCAGTGTTGATAAACGGACATTTGTGGCTTTTTATAGGGAGAACGCTTGCCAGGCGAAAACCCACCACGTCCTGGAACACTGCCCTCAATCCATCTGAATGGTAACGTATAACTGGTAATGAATCTTAGACCGATTGTACACTCGACAATTCGCAGTCATATGAGTTGCAAATCTCTACATTGGCATACCGAATTGCTTGGTCCAGGTCAGCCATTAGTCGTTGAAACCGGTCAAGAAATGAAATGTCCAGGAAAGCCTGGTGAAGGATTGTGCAGGCAAGTATGGATTTCAAATTAATGCTTCGGATTTTCTTTTGTAATATACTGGTCCTGGCCTGAAGACTTCTTGTCCATGTATCCACACTGAACCTGTCAGATGGTGGGTGCAGTTGATCCTTATGGCTAAATTCGTCCCACCTCAGGCGAAAATGCGATTCCTCATTCAAATGACGGATCCACAGGAAGTTCGCATTAATTTTTTAGGTCATGGGTAGGATTATGGGAGTAATAGGGCCGAACGCCTGAGTTCAGGCCACGTAAAACCACAGGTTGTTCACAGAAGAGGAACAGAGTTCCTCCACAGGTAAGTTATTGTCAAGGTAAATTGTCTTTATGTCCAGTATTGACTCCATGATATGCTATAAGAAAAGCTCCAGATAAGAGAAGTATCAAAATGTTCTTGCAGTAATGTAAAGCGGCGAACCCAATTGTTCGAACGCCAGTGAGAGGCAGCAGGGTTGTCCAAGTCAAGGTACAGTAATTTTGATAGATGAATCTGTCGTCCATAGTGAAACAAAGAATCCATGTAAAAACAGTTCCAGTGAGTAATTTGTGGCCATGTGATTGCGAGGTGAGCTAAACCCATTTGGTTAGACCCCGTGCAAGCGGCATCTTTCCACATTGCCAAAAGGATGATTCATTCAGAAGCTGCTTGGAATCGTCGGAATGATGATTTGCTGTTGAGGTACCGGAGAAGTGATCAATTGTTTCAAATAAGCTGGCTGTCGAGGACGGATCAGCCAGTGCCAGTGGATGAACCGTCATGTGCCAACCATCGTATCTGTGGAAATCTCGGGAAAAACAAGCAACGAACAAGAGGCAACCAAGCAAACGCACAGACTGGACTACATCGATAAACACTATTAAATGAGTGATTGCATGCAGTGATACCTAGTTCCTTGGTACTATGTAATTTTGTTCAGTATATCTGGTTTACAGGTGCCTTCTTACATCACGTCTCAGGTGTTGCTTAGTATGAGCACAGCGCACGAAGAAGGTTCAGTAGAGCGCATGGTCCAGAAAGAGATAAGCGTGTTCACAACGTTCAACGAAAAGTACGGGTATTGGAAAGATGCGTAGATAAAATGGTGTAATGGTGAACGATGGCCTCAATTATCCTTGATGAAAGCCGTCAAGAAACGAGTATTAGCTTAGGTGAAGCTGAGGCCAACTGGATTACGATGCATAGCAAGGAGCAGTCAGTTCATACAGCAGCGTTGCAAGTGGAGTGGCAAATGCAAAGAATCGGTGAAGAGCGGATGCATGCGAACAGAGATGCGGTGAGTTGGTAATGGCACTGATGACGCTGAAGCGCCGATGCATAAATTGTCTACAATCCACTGAAATATCGCCGGCGCGGAGTGTATGCTGAACGGTAAACGGTTTTAGCGAAACAATCCCGTGTCGGTATTAATAGTCGTAACTTCCTCAGTAGATTCATGAAGCTCCAGTTGAGAATAAGCGTAGTTCGGATCAAATTTGGGGAACTTTTGTCCACCCGATAACATTGCATAGAAATCATTTATTCTTGGAATAGGGTAGTGTTCCGGAATCGTCGCCTGACTGGCTGTCAGTTTGTAGGCATCGCAAATGAGAATCGAGCCATCCGGTTTTTGTACCGGAACGATCAGTGCAGCCAACGATGAGTGGCGCACAGGCCAGATTATTCCGTCATTTTGAAGTCGCTCCATCTCCGACGAACGGATTGCAAAAGACGAGCATCGTGCTTTGAAAAATCGGTTGAGTACCTGGTCTGAGGTTGTAATGAGCTTTAAAATCACGTAATTTCTTAGGCAGAGTTGCATCGAAAACAGTAGCAAAAGCTATCAGAAGTATGGGGAAATCAGGTATGCGGCCAACCTTTATGACAGTTCGAAGTATTTCCGGTGTGTTTCAACTACTTCCTTCCAAGCAGGTTTGGACCGTCGGAGATAATCACAATCAAGGGAAGAGCCAACATATCACTTCCACAACCTAGGAGCCCATCATTTCGGCAGTCGGGAAACCACAATCGACGCCTTATTCGAAGTGAGGGTTTTCATTCCCCTTGACCAAGTTATCGCTAGGCCTCCCCTCCACTTTTTGCACCTACAACCGCAGAGCGTAGGAATCGGCGTCCTAGCATGCGCAACAAGTGGCCCGACCATCGAAGCCTGGTGAGTGGTATAACGGTGCTGGGCAGTCAACTTGCTCTTCCTGTACCAAATACACCGTATTTCGAAAACGACTGATGACACGTTCATTTCCTGGGTCCATGCTATATTGCGTCTGCATACCGGCTGCAGAGGCTTTAGGTGTGAAATCACATCCTCGCCCTGCCTGAATTTGAGTGCAAAGGCAATATCAGCGCCGAGGTACAACCTTGAAGATTTGTAGGTAGCAGGGGAATTTATTGGGTCGCCATAGCAGCTTACTTGCCACCGCGATTGGTGGCGGCTCTGGGAACCAACCTTGTCCTCTGCACTTTCATAACATGTATGACGGTGGAGGGCGAGCCACGCTATATCGCAGTTAGATATCAGTCATGACGCTCCGCTGCCGTCGCCCATGGCTCAGTGGCATAAATCGCTGACTCGCAAGAGCAAGGTCGTGCGTTCGAATCCAACAGGATCCGGCGAGTGCGCGCTACTGACGAGTCCCAATAGGACAAAACGGTCCTCTAGCGCTTTCCTGGATGCGTGGTGGCCGCCTCCCGGAGACTAACTGTAAGGAATCTTCAAAAATAGCCTTGAAGATGGTGGAGCACCAGTACGAAAAACCTGCGTACAATTATAGTGGTAGAAGGTGACGAGGAACTGGCAAGCAAAAAAAGACTAATAAAGTGTGATGCCAAGCTACGGAATCCGGACGTTTCATGCGAATCCGGCACAAATAGCAAAATGTAACTGCGATAAGCGAAAGCATCCAAGTTTCGACTGAAGACATAAACATCTATGGACGTTTGCCTGTGGCCTCGTTCGCGAAGTTAACCAAATTTTAGAATGACACTAAAAATATGATTATGTTCATATTTTGAACATGATTACGTTCGACGGGGGGATATCAGCCTGTCAATGAAAGATAAAGTGTAAAACGCTGCGATGAGGCCGGTGTTACTGCATGGAACGGAGACCTTGAAAGTCCTCGGTGAAGTAGTGGTTGTAGTAGTATAGTCAGCAGTCTATCAAATAGACAGAGTCAAACATAACCATGGAAATCACTAAAAGAAGACAGGTTGAGCACCGTATCAGCATCATGGCGCATTAACTGAACGTGAGCAACACACTTCAGCTACTGTGCCGCAACAGAAAAAAACGGAGAATTTGTTTATTTTGCACACGCCATATTTTAATTTTTGTCGTTGTTAAACAGTAAGTATCCAAATCGAAGCAGTTCTATACATAGTTCCCCTACTGGTTTCGATTAAGAGCCATATCCTGAATTGTTTCCAGCCACTGGAACTCGTCGTCCTTTGGCCCCCAACCAGGCAGACGTGTGGATCCAATGGTGGCAAGACGAGAAGGCAACGATTTCATTTGCTGTCTGAGGTGGATGGTGGAGCACCGTAAGAGCAAACGGAGCGCGACAGAGCAAACGCTCAGCTGACATACACAGGACGTGGCCGAGCCATCTTAACTGGCACAGCAAAATCAGCTTGTTGAAGGGAATACTCGCATTCCCTAAGACACGACGTCTGACTTCACTGTTGCAAATGTGTTGTTGCCACCACACAAGAGCACTCATCCTCAAGCACCCGTTGTCGAAGACCGAGAGCCGGCGCATGTCGTCTAGGCTAACTGGCCATGGCTCTTCTATATAGCAACACCGCCAGAACAGTGGCATAGAAAACACGACCCTTTACCAAGAGGGAGACATCCTGACGACACCACAAGTGCTGTAGGCTGAAAAACGTTGACCGAACTTTGGCGATGCGAAGAGAAACTTCCTTACTAATGGTACCACCTGCAGACACACAGCTACTAAGGTAGACAAAAATATCCACTTGTTCAAGCTGCGTACCTTCAACATTGAGCACGGGAACAGTTGGGTGCCAATCCTGAAGCAGCACTTTACACTTGGACGAAGAAAAGCACATTCCGTACCTAGATGCCTCAATCATCAGACGGTATAGAATGGTTTGCATACTCTGTGAGTCATCACCAAGTTAGGCGATATCATCGACATAATCTAAGTCGATTGCCCGCTTGCCCGGTAATAGCTGTATACCAAAATTTTAGCAAGCATCTACAGCTCTCAACAGGACGTCTTCAAGCGCAAAAATTGAACAGGAACGGGCATATAGGGCAGTCCTCTCGTACACCGCTACTGACAGCGAAGGACGACGAAAACCCTCACCCTCACTCTGCCGGAGATGTGGGAATACAGTGGGCGTAGGATGACAGTGTACTTTTTCTGGGACACCGTTCCTTAGCAAACAACGTCATAGTGCAGGTCGATCAACCCAGTAGAATGCGGCACGGATGTCCAAGAATGCAACGATGTAGACCTCTGGTAAAGGTGGTGGTGTTCCAGGATTTGACGGAGTGTGAATATCTGATCCACACACCCGCGGCCAGGTCGGAAGTGAGTTTGTTCTTCCCAGTACTGCTATCCGCGAAGGGGAGATAGTCTGCGGAGTAGAATGGATGCCAATAGTTTGGAGGCAACCGAAATAAGACTAATCCCCGGTGATTGGTACACGAAATGCGAGCACCCTTCTTAAAAACCGGGACAATAACAGACTCGCCCCAGGAAGAAGGCACTTTTTTTCCTCATGCCACATTTTGGAGAACAATGTGGTTAGCTGAATAATGATAACTGAGCCTCTATATTTGAACAACTCTGGAGAAAGTCCGTCTGAGCCAACAGCATTGAATCGTCTTGAGTGTCGAATCGCAAGACAAACTTCCGCTTCGCTGGGTGAAACGTGTAACAACCCAGGGCTGGTAGCTGGGTTCACAGGGGATATAAGTGGACGGTGAGAGCCAATTGAATTGGGAATGAAAATGTTCGGCCCATCGGTCCAAGCGTCTCTGTAAGTTGGCAATCGGCGAACCATCCGCTTTGCATATAATCTCACTGACACCAGGCTTTCTGTGGCCAGTGGATCGAATGAGCTGGGAGAGTTTGCGAGTATTGCCAGACAGGACAGCGGCTATCAGTTTCGAAGCATGCTAAGACCACCAGGCTTCACGGTCACTGCGTAAGCTTTGTTTGAGCTGCCGACTGACAGAACGGCGCACTTCGTTATGCTTAGACTGCTGAGTTATTCCTGCGGCGATCAAATAAGTCCAAAGAGCGCGTGGAGATCAAGGTCTTCATAGGGTGCTGAGTATGTCCACAGACTTGCTGTCCAGAAGAGATCATGGTCCTCTGCATACATGTCCAGTGTTCACCAATATCTTGCGGTGGATCGCAGCCGAGTGCTCCAGCCACGGAAGGTTAATACCACTGCTGAACCGAAACAGTAGATAGTTTATTGGTGTCTCTCTTACAGCGCTTCATTTTCGGGGACCCTACGAAACTCACGCACATGTTCGCCCAGACAAGAGCATGGTCAGAGTCAAGAAAAGTGGACCAGGTGGATATGCAATCCCTAACACTACCCCTCCATCTGAAACTGATTGCGATAAGATCAATCTGAGACCATGATTGAGACGCAGAAGTGGGTCGCCAAGAAGCGGAATGTCTCCTAGAATGCCGAAGTTCGTGCTCGAGAGGAACAGATGGTTATCTTCGCAGAGTGTGAGAAGTCGCTCTCCATTACCTGAGCGGCTCTCCTCGAGCGTATGATGACCACCGAGGTGACTTTCGCAAGCCAGTAGACGACCGACTCGTGCGTTGAGATCTCCAGCAAGGACAACAATGTCAGATTTGCAGGCTCTGCTCAAGAGCTGATGAAGTTCACGGTAGAAATCGTTCTTGACGGAGTCGGAACTGCATTCAGTTGGGGCGTAAGCTGAGATCACAAACAAGTTGCGTCTTTCCGCATGAGGTCTGTTTATCTTGCATGATCCCCGAAGCCGGAATGCACACAGTCGGCTATTAATCGGGAACCAGTGTAGCAGTACGCCCTCGGCTTTGCTACTTAGCGCTACACCAAAGCCAGCCAAGCCTGCCGCAGCTGCTTCTGCATCACCAGATAGACGTAGGTGAAATATGGTTCCGTGGTCGGTAAGAGATCTCAACTCAATCACAGTACCGGGATCTAGTAAGCGCATTGCGGAAAAGCAAACATCGCGGTGAAGACATTAAACGCTTGGCTGTGTTTGACCACCGTTGCTTGCAGAGTATTGCTCAAATCTAGTGGGAACACCAAGTGAGTAACGCGGAGGCCTGCCAGTTGGCTATTGGTAATAAGCCTTATGGTGCCTCACCTGAGCGTTTGCTGAATTTTAATCGCTTACGTTGGTTAGGCCATGTGCTCAGTATGCCCGCTAACCGGCTTCTTCGAAGTGCATTCTACGCCGTGGCTGCACCAAGTTGGGTGGAACCGTGAGGTAGCCAGTTCACACATAGTGGCACGAAGAAATTGACTGAGAGACTTGATCAGGCTGGTGCGTCCCGTCTTCGTGAATGAGGGCCTCAGGATGGTTCGCACCAATGATTGCAGACCGTATCAGACATGGTGCAGTCATTTAGTCAGTGAACTTCCTGTATCCGGTTTCATTCATCTGGTTGTTATTAGGCTAGTAATAAAATTATTGCGGTCTTTAATCATAAACTTTAAATTCACATACCTTAGCTAAAACGTAACATTTTTTTGAAAAAAATCATTCGAATGGACACTAATTTGTCAACGATAACTAAGTATATTTACCCTGGATGAAGAAAACTCCGGAGTGCTGGTGGCGATGAAATCGTCGAAGGAGGTTTCAGCGTCTCCTTGGGTTTTAAAACTTTTCTCTCGGAGGAAGTTATCCAGGTGCCTGAAAAAGTGGTAACCGGTAGGTGAACGTTCAGGGTAGTGTCGTGGGTGAGGCAAAGTTTCGTAGCTCAGTTCGTGCAGCTTCCGTAGGTTTGTTTGTGCGAAGTGCGGCAAAGCGTTATCATGGAGAAGGATTGGCTCTTCCTGCTGACCATTATCGGGCATCTGCGTTGCAGTTTTCGGTGCATTTCGAAAATTTGTTGACAATACCTTCCCGCTATAATGGTTTCCCTTGGATTCAGAAATCTGTGATGAATCAGACAAGCCGCAGACCACCAAATACTCACCGTAACATTTTAGGGTGTAAGTTCGGCTTTGAAAAATGTTGTGGAACTTGATCGTGGTCCGACTATTGAGAAATTCCCCGCCAATTGTCGCGAAGAATCCACTTTTCATCTCAAGTCACAATCCGGTCGAGAAACGGGTCGTTTTTATTACGTAGAACGGCAGACGACATCTCAAAATGATGATTTCTTTGATTTTCATTCAATTCCTGCGGCACCCAGTTATCAAGTTTTTCCGACATTCCAAGCTCCTGTAAATGGTTTAAAACTGTCACATGCGATACTGCTAAGTCAGCAGCAACATCTCGAATAGTCTTACGTGGATCCGCTTTAACAAAGACCCGTAATTGATCGTCGTTCAATTCCAATGCCTGTCTAAAACGATCTTTATTTTCAAGCCTCCCGTAACCTTTTTTGAAACCAAAATTGTGCAGTACGCTTATTGGTAGTTCCATCAGCAAATGCACTGCTAATATCATGGGCTGTTTCCGCTGCATTTCGACCAAAACTAAATTGGTGCAAGAAAGTTGCGCGAATTCGTCTTCTGTCCATGTTGCAGTAAATGTTCTGTAAAGATGTAAAAATGTGCTTCGGAGTTAAACTGTCACTACTGATAGATAGAACGCAAAACGGGCCTTTAGATACAAAGGCAAAGCAACTTATTAAAAATTATTCAAAAACAGCCGTTAAAATGAATATATCAAAAAATTGCAATAATTTTATTACTAACCTGATAACTTTCGTTCCATACTGATTAGCTTAGCGCATTTCCTTCTTACTTAAATTTACATTCCATCCGTCTTCAGCAACATATTCTTGCCGTTGTTATTTATTGTCATTCCTGTGATGTGAGTCGTGGCATCTGGATCCATCGCACTTCGGTGCTAGGATCATAGTTGATCAATTGCACTGAAATGAACATTGCAATAAATTCGCCGTGAAGAGTTGTAGTACATTATTGGGACTTTCGGGGGATCCACACAAACGCGTTTGACCGGATTTTAATTTGAAGCACACAACGATTAGTTAAATCATGGGTAACAGAGAAACTACCGACTATAGTGGATACGTAGGATCCTACAGTGTGTGGTGATTGAATCTACCTCGTTCAGTATATGGCCAGTCTCGGAAAGACAAAAAAGGCGATGCAAGTTGTAATCGTATAAAATGCAAGTGGGGTTGACTATACAAGGAACGGAGAAATAGAAACATGTCTACTTCAACACACATCTTCATCCTCTATTTCCTCATCGGAATGTTGAGTGATGTCATTCGATCCAACGTTATTTTTGCATTGTGCATCGCTAGCATCCAGATCGACTTGAGGACAGTCGTCAAGTCCGAGAATTTGACCAGTTTCCGTCATGCTGGCTATGAGATCAGCGGACATGTACTTTTCGAGGATTTCCTGTTTGCGACGTTCCAATAGGGAAGCTTCTATCTAGAGAGGGAAAGAAAGTGTATGAAAGCAAGTATAGAATAAAGTAGATAAGAGAAAGCAAGGTGCAGGTGTAGAGAGCATCACTGCATAAGATGGAACGGGCCAATTCAATTTCGGAGGTCGCGCATTCCAAACAAATGCAGGAATGTCAAGTCAGGAAATAAAAAACACGCAAAAACGAAGAAAGCATTCCTTACTGCTTGCAGGAAGTACCAGATAGTCTCGAATGAAGACCCGTATTCCAAAAAGAGATCGAAGGGATCATGAGAACCAAAATGTAGGACAACTGACGGAATGGTATTAACGCTAACGTCTACTGGGAATAAACAAACTCGATAGGACCACAGCTATATAGAGCACATACGCATCAATGAATGAGAACTGAAGCATATTCGATACGCGCTATCTGTCCAAGTGAAGGTGACACATGTGCGGCATGTTTGTACGATGGCAAATGAACAATGTAGTGTGCGTGTTTCCTATACCAGAATATGCGTCAGTAGTGGCAAGAATAAAAGTATACCGCCAAATTTTCTTGTTATCTGTAATTCCAAAGAAGAGAAAGCGCGAGTAGTTTAAGAGAAACTAATGCATCACAAGGGAATTGGTGATTACCTGAGATTGCGTAACAACTGGGACATGTGCAACGAAAGCTCTTTTGACATGGCCCAACGAGCTCATCGTTTTTGTGGTAACACGACTGTTGACCATAGCGATAAACTCATCCTCCTCTGGGTCATTCATAACTGAACCGAGCACCGCAAGGCTTTCTGCACTTGGTAAAGAAGTTGACTGTTCATCTTCGTTTATCGCTTCATATAGGCGCATAATTTCGTCATCTGCCGGCTGGTTAAGAATAGGAAAGATAAAAACGAGGTAAAATCGCTAAAACCATGATAAACTGGAAGTGAAAGAACAGTGATGCACTGAAATGCAACGTAAAGATAAAAGGTATCAGCAATAAGCCGGCAGTTCCTATCGATACCTACCCGCAACGCAACCACCAGCGGTTGCGTGCGGATTAGGATACTTCGAGATCGTTCGCAAGTACAGGGGCCTGAACCGCTGCTTCGTGGCACAAGCCACACGCCAGATCCGTCTGGGCACCGATTCGTAAAAAACAGGAAAATTAAACCATAAAATGTCCCTAGGGACGTCGTTAACAGAATATGAAGTTTACATGAAAACAATACCACCGACCTGTCGTTAGTCTATTTGCCAACAGGCGGGTGTGCGATGGTACAATGTGACCGATGTCATTGTGTGAATCAGAAGTATGACCGTTTTGTGTCGGTTAAATGTGACCACCGACGCTTGTGGCGCATTGTTAGCATCTGGTGGAAACACTTAGAGAATACTATCGGTCACTGGAAAGTAATCCTCTGGTAAGGTACCGGGATATTTGTAGAAATCAAGCCGCTTGCGTTGGCTAGGTTGTCTCCCGTATGCTAGTTGATCGCGTGCCTCGATGCGCACAGCTTACCATCGCTGTACCTAGTTGAAAGAAACGGAGAGTGACCAGCCGATAACACCGCAGTAAAGTATGAAGGTCACTGACAGACTGTCAGATCTCAGGGCAAAACGCTATAATAGCCTGAGGAGAGACTGCGAATCCTCGTGGTCCCGTCGTGCGTCAGAGATGAAAGTGGCTGCTGCCAATGGTAACCACCGAAACTTATTCCGTCTGATACGGAAAACGGGCAGCAAACCTGATGTTAGGAAACTATATGTGACGAGAGTGGATAACCTATCCACAACTTGTCAAAACGCTTGGAGCATTGGGCTGAGCACTTTGAAAGGCAATATAATCGGCCAGAATTGTAAGATTTATCATCGACCAGCGATCGTTCTGCTCCCTGGGCTGTCTCTTTGGGTCCACTCTCTCGCTAAGATCGGAAAGATGAGGTTGAATAAGGTCGCAAAACCAGATGATTTACAACCAGCCTTCTTTAGATTCGGGGGCCCAGCTCTTGTTGCTGATTTACATGAAACTGTGGGAGTATGAAACTGACCCAACCAACTGGAGCCACACCGTTACTGTCCCGATCTTCAAGTGAGGCTCACGATCGGAATGCGGAAACCAGAGGAATCAGTCTGATCTCCATCGCCCCGCTCACTTACTTGTCTCAGTAATCCTTCACAGATTGACTAGCATTCGCGAAATCCAGATTTTCGAAGAGCAAGCCGGGTTTCACTGAAGTCGCAGACGTATTGATCAAACCTTCACATTACGTTAATTGTTGAAGCACCGCCATATTAGGTGGCGACCAACTGTAGTCATGTTCCTTGACATCAAAGGTGCCTTCAATCCCGTTGAACAATCTGCTCTTTGCGACTGTCTGATAAGGAAGTGTGAGCGATAAATATGTAAGCATGATCCGAGCGCTTTACGCGCGTAGCTAAGGCAGAGTAAGGGATTACGGTAATTTGTGAACGCCCTACAACAGCACCATCGGTGTAAGACAGGAATGACTGCTGTCACCTTTCCTCTTCGATTTCGCTATTGACTAAAGCATGGAGATCGCGTTCACAAAACACGACTTATAATGAGTGAAGCTTCTCACATGTGAACGACTTTTGACTTGGGGAATGTTGATGACATTGCCATCATCTGTAACAGCTTACAAACGTGCCAAACATCATTAAACAGATTAGCAATGACTACCAACTGCTTTGGGCTATGCTTCACATCCTCGAAGTGCCAAGCTTTCCTCCAAGAATGGCACGGACAGCCCCCTGCGCTGACTCTTGGTGGGGATCAGCTAAAAGTCGCTTAGAAGTTCAACTATCTAGGCAGTTGTATCTGCGTCTGCGGAATCGAAGACGATCTCGAGGCGCTTTTGTTAACCTTAGCCACCTATGGCACCGGAGCGACCTCACACTCTCACTGAAGGACAGAATCTATAATGCAACCGTACGTTCAATGCAACTGCACCGTTGTGAAACCTGGTTCATGAAATCTGCAGACATAAAGAGGCCAGTTACGTTCGACAAGCAGTGCCTTCGCAGTTTGGCTTATATCTGGCGGGGTCCACCAGACTTCGCGATCTTCCCGGAGAAGCTGTTTGAGCTCAGCGTTAGTAGTCGTGCGTAGTGAATGATATTTAACGTTAGCAGGAATTGCTCGACGGGCTTCGAGAAGTTGCAGGGATCGTGCAGAGATCCAGTAGTTAATATGACCACTGGTGAAGCCACAGACCAGAGTTGCAGCTATACATGGCGCCGCGGATGTGAGTCCAGTAGGTTTCAATACCTGTGCATGAGGCAGTCTTCAGTAATGAGGTCAAAGCAGCCAGAGATGCGGGGTGAACATTCGGGGCAGAAAGCTTAGCTACACCGAGCCGTTTCCGGCGACGCTGTTGAAAGCCACCAAAGCGTAGCGCGACCTTGGCACACACCAGCTCGTGATCCGAAGTGAGATAGGTACTCCAGTTTGATTTGCAATCTTGTATGCAGTCCCGCCAGCAATAGCCAATGGCGGTGTGGTCAATTTGTGTCCACAGCTGGCCTGGTGATGGGGTCTCCAGGTGGCGCGTAGGCGCCAGGATTCCCGAAAGCTACTGCTCGACAAAAACAGGCCGTGATCGGTGTACAGCTGAAGTATGCGATCACCGTTGTCTGTGCTGCGAGTGCCATGGCCGCGTCGACCACCGAGTTCACATTCGTCAAAGTCAAGTTTACCGACCTACGCGTTCAAGTCCCCGGCGAGCACCACGAAGTCGATGCGGCGATTTAAAAGAGGTCGGTCAGTTGATCACAGAGCTCCGGGCTGCAGTCTGTAGGAGCGTATGTTGCGACAATGAAAAGACAGCGTCTGCTGAATTCGCGCCTGGACAGTCGCACTGAGGTCTCAAGTCGGATCATGCATAGTCGACAGTTGACAGGTATCCAGTCCAGTAGCGCGGCCTCAGCACGTGTGCTCAACGCAATCCCCACACCAGCATAACCAGCAGCTTCGGCGGTTGAGTCTCCAGATAAACGCAAAGTGAAGATGCCAGTGGAATTCGTAGATGGTGAAACTAGTGGCAGCGTCGTGCCAGTCCTGTAATCGGGTCTCGCTGAGACAGCAGACATTAATTGCCGTAGTTTCTAGAGTGTGAGCAAGGGCTGCCTGTGATCCAACCTGCATCAGCGTCCGAAAATTGAAGGTTGCCGGCCTGAATTGGGAACGGGGTGCTAGAAATGGTTTGTCAACATGACTTGGTGCACCCTCGGGCCTAGGCTCCTGATCCGTAGGGCGAGAGCGTTCGCCCAATGCGACACGGTGTTGTGAATTCGAAAACGGAGGGGGAAGACCAAGAATGGGTGGGTTGAACAAACGTAGAATAAAGTGACTAAACGGTGGTATGGTGAAAGGTGGTTTGGCAGGTTCAGCCGCCAGCACCTCGGCCGAGGAGAGTAGTTCGAGTGAGAGCAGATAGAGCGAGAGCGGAGAAAGCGAGTGATCGAGCGAAGAAGTGTTGAGACATGGATCCATAAGCTGCGTGGGCATCGTGCTTCCCGGTTTCCCAGGCCCAGGAACTCCACACGGAGACTTGGATCATAAAAGACCTAACCGCAAGGCAGTGAGGCGATTGACGTATACCGCGAACCGTTGGAAGTCGGCTATCTAGGAGGATAACATGGCTTTCGAGTAGGGGCAAACTACTCAGGGCGCCCAAAGAGCCCGAGTAAAGCAACAAGGCCAGAATTCCCTGGACTACCGAAGTCGCCGAGAAGCACGAAGGTCGTTGACAGCCGGGTGGCTCATACGGCTTCATAGAAGCCGGTGGCCATCAACGTTGTTCATCCGCACTGCGTTAAGTTCTTACTTCTGTGAGCAGAAGTGAGTTGTCAATGACCCTATAGCCGGTCACATTGGCTTTGACACAGCGTCTTGCGAGCTTCTGTGGTATTTAATGAGAATCCAAGTGACCATCTCAGAACTGCTTACGTTCTAGGACGCTGCCGCTGATTGTCCGCGACTGCTTATTCATCTCGCCTGCGAGCAGCGGAGAGTTATTCACAGTTACCTTCACAAGAAAAGCATTCCTCGATCCGCAACCTGGGGACGCGCCCGGTGGCGTACCGCCCCGTCGAACCAACCAGTGGTTGGTTCACTTCCCAACTGGAAGAATGTAACCGACGGTACATATATTCTTTTAACAGTAACCATTTCTATGTCCTCCTCTTTCTGTACAGGCTTATTTTTCCAAATAAAATAGTTGCTTATTACCATAAAAGCGCGAGGCAAAGCAGCAGGATCCGTTGCACAACCGTGCTTCGATAATAGTGGCTTGATGGAGGGGACAAATGTGATGAAGAATAATTACCAGTCGGTCGCATATAGCCGTGAAAAACTGGTCGAGTTATGCAGTTGAGTGGGCCCAGTGGACACAGAGTTCCGAGGAGAAGGGCTTAGAAGAGTCGAAAATGAACAAGGTGTTTAAACAGGTTTAGTGAACAGAATTTAAGAATATACGAAACAAATGTGATCTTACGTTATCAGATGAGGAGTAAATATTCACTAAGTCTGAAGTATCTTCGTCTAACTCCTCGTGATCTTCAATCTCAAGGTCACGTTTTGTGAGGATGCATTTACGGTCTGCACCTTCACGACGAGCCTTCCATTCTGCAACTTTACGAGCCATGGCTGAAACAGAGAACTACTCGAGAAACATTTGTTACCTTCCGGTTCGTACACAGCCTCCTGTGGAACGATGACCCCATCATCTTCATCACAATTCCCGTAGTAGGATACATCAATCATTTTCATAAGTTCGCCTCTGGATTTTCTGGGAACAGGCTGTGCTATGAACCGAAAGACGTAATATGAGAACAATTCAGTTGCTTTTATACTACTGTTAACGATGATAAAGACACGTATGAAATTTCAGTAGCTTGGATTGGAACTAACTCGAAAGAAAAGACCTATACGGAAGAGGAAACAGTCGAAAACGCTTGACGTGTGGAGAGCTGTTGATACTACAAATGAAGCGTCTTTGGAACGTGTAATTACAAGTGACTGCATAGTTCTTATATTTCGAGACTGGAATACACCAATTCCAAGTGGATTTAGTGTTTTCGAAGTAGGCATAATATGACCAACACAGTTGATCAAATGATTCTATGGGCACCATACGAAAAGGATCCGCTTTCCAGAGGTGCATTTTTTCCCTCAGTATGTAATAGGTTGGAACGAAGTTGATAACAAATAATGCTTCTAACTGCTACTGCGGGGGCTCCAATACATGTCACAGCACCGAACTAAAACCAGTGCAAAAACCACGGTTGCCAACATGTTGACAACGCTAACCCTCATAACCGACGAACCAGACCACAAGCAAGAGCGCATTTGACGAGGCTACTTGCCTGGGATTGAAAAGTTCGATTATACCTTTCGTGCTAATTTGTGTGAATGAGGCTGCTAAATAACTGTGTTGAAAACAAAGCATCCATCCCGAATCCATACAAGTTGGTGCTAAAAATGCATAAGTTGTGGGAATAGCACGTTTATTGAGCGAATCGCATAAGTAGTAGCTGAGTTATCAAATATCATGTGTGGGATCATCGCGGGGGAGTTAGCATTTAAGGAAGCCCGTTCACAGCAGCCGTCGAAGCCAGGTCTCTAGCTAGCAGTCCGGATCAGATTGGACCCACGCGGCCTGAAGCTGACTGGTAAATCAATGAGAGAAGCCGAATGACTTATCGTGAAGTCATTCAGTGAGCGCATTATTTGAACGCCCGACAAGCGAGTTCTTGCGCATTCAGTAGTTGCTAGAATTCAGGAACTTTCAATTAGGTCATTCTCTCATGATCTAGTTATTATGACCCCATATATACATACCGTTCGCCTGGGTGCCCCACAGAAATTTCGCCTGAGGTCTTTGTCTTATTCGTAGGACCTTACCAGCTCCTGGCTCAATGATCTGCTCAAGAAGGAACACTTACGGGATTCTCCTATCGTCCCAGTTCCACCTGAAGTTGAACTTTTGAGAAGTGGCTGGACTGAGCTGTATCGGTTATACGTACTGTCAGCGGATACAAACATCACCAACTGAGATGATAACCCACGGCCCCAACTATACGGGGGTTACTAAGGTGATTTACGGCCTTTGATCAATCTGGGGAAGTGATAATAATAGGCTGACGGAGCGCCTCATAGTTCACCGCAGTGGAATGGGTCGCTGAGGTGTATGGATACGACCTTAAAGTAGCGAAAACTAATGTAGTACGTATGAAGAGAGCAAACCATTAATTTGTGCTTTTGTGGAGTTATGCGTTACGAGAACACAATCAGTAGCATGGAGTTACTAGTGACTGTATGCTGTTAACAATGCCCCTTCTCCGTCGAAAAAGGGATACAAAGAGATGTTACTCTGGATTTGTGAGATACGAGCAGTATCCTCGACAACAGCGGATCGAAATGTAAGGAAACAACGCCAGCCGTTTTGACAGGAACCGATGACTGTGGAGATGAGCGGACATGTAGGCAAGAACTTCAAGCCAAAGTTAAGGAAATCAACAAAAATCATGTAGTAAATAGAAAAAGCAATTGTGCGCACGTCAACTATTGTATATAAGCAGAATATCCTACGAATATCCAGGTCGAGCTATCTTAAGGGTAGTAACTAGTATGCATTAGCTTCGCCGATGACAATGTAATCCCAACCAACAATGAGGTGAATTTCAATGGCTTTAACTTCGTATTTTTAACTAATGTAAGCGTAAGACATGATGGCACGGTGAAGCAAGCAATCCAACAGAAAATAGGAGTCGGCCCTTGTTGGACATGAAATTTTATTCGGAGCAACTTCTGACAACGCTCTAGTGCGTATTCAAGTAACAATCAGTCTTATACTAGTATTTTGTACTGATGCTTCGCTGTCATTCAAACAATAGCGTTCGAACGCAGGCTGATACTACCAAGAATGAGGGTTCAAACTTGTGGCATAAAAGTTGCAAGTTAAAAGTCTGAATCATTGCACCACGGCCTCCCAGTCTCAATGAAGCGCTCAACTTCAAAGTCCATAAGGCACCTACAGCATCGTTCTGAAGTGGGACATCAACCGTGAACCGGGAAAAATGAACGACCGGGTGCCGAAAGGCATGGGCTTATGGACTACTCTCCACAAGATTAGTTAATGCTCTGGCCGTTGCAAAAGATAAGCAACACCGCCCGACCTGCTGCATTAAGCAGGGTGGATAAAGGTGGCGGTGCTACTGCTCAAGACTTCCTGTCTTCATATGTCACATCTCGCGCTTTTGCATGCCATCGCACCGTTCCAAATTCACTTTTATCCCCCTATTTTCAAACCCACAGTTCATGACTCTCAATGTTGCTTCAATAGACGTTTGTCACCAAATTTCAACCCGCACGCAATCGCAACGCGTCGCTTCGGTCCAGTCGACAAGTCCATGACCAACCTAGCAGACAAGGCCAGTTCATATGTTACTATTTGGAGCTCTCGTCGGCCGGTGGCTGAGTGGTCTGCACGTTTGCTTTGCAACAATAAGGTCACCGGTTCGAATCCGCGTAGGGGTGGGCGTCCTCACGGTATATACTCAGCCCGCGAGCGACTGGTGGTGGTTGCGCTGCAGCGAAGCGCCGTTACGGCGTACAGCTGACACATTTATTATTTGGAGCTCTCGATCCACGTTAAGACTCGCATGCCTCAACGTGCGCACTTTGTTACAGAGTGGCCGACAAGCAGCACTTGACCGAACACTGGAGACCCTATCGATGGATGTCTGCTGTCTACCGGAAACCTGCCTGCAAGACTTCAGCTCTGTGTTTACCCTGCGATCCATTACATAGGACAATTGCGGCACTTTCTCATGGCGCCTGTCCGAAGATGACGCCGGTCGAGCGGATGTGGGCATTCCCTTGAGTTCTGGACTAAAGCTGCTATGATCAACTGGATCCCAGTCGACAGTCAGATGTGCACTGTCAGATTGGCTGGCCCATTCAAATATCCGAACTGGCGCGCGGACAAACGATGCCTGTTTGTCATTGCGACCTACCCCTTTAAAAACTATAGCGGTAACTCGATGACATATTACGAGCTCCTTCGTTACAAAAAAGTATGGATACATTGATGCTTGCTCGTGATCTGAACGTCCAATTTGGAAAACTATCCACCAAGGAGCTGCATCTGAGCGGCCAACACGGTGTAACCTCTCATAAGGATAACGGCGAGTGGCCGCTAAACCTGTGTGAAGACGCTCCTCTATTTCCCGCGAGCACTAACTTCTGACATAGCACTAGCAGAAGAGTGATATGGCGCCCAGCAGCCTCAGTACAGTTTCTGACGCAAATCAAGCACATCGCGATCCGTTGCCACTGGAAGGGCTGTATCCAAAACGAGCGTGGACTCTGACCACACAGGTTTATACGTTGACCTGCATGTGTGTTTCGGCGGACGTCTGCAACAACGCTGTGAGCGCATAGATAGTTGCCAACTGGTGAAGCCAGATTTTTTGAATGTGTATCAAAGAACGCTGGCTTCTGACCTGAGTAAGCGCTCTCTGAACACAGTTGAAGATCAATGGTAACATATTCGCCAGACGTTTCTAACAGCAGTAAGCAAGTCTTCAAATCGCAAACGTGGACGCTGGGTCTCTATGCAGTCGTTGGAACTTCGGGATGCTCGCTGAAGTGTTCTACCTGGGAGCGAACACACCGAAATTCGCAAAAACCTGAGGGCGAAAGTGCGTGCTAGCCTGAAGAGAGATCGCGAAACCTAGTGATCTAATGGTACGTCGCAGATGGAAACAGCAGCTGCTGTTAGTAACGATCAGAAGTTATTCCGTCTAATCAGGGAAACGGGCAGCAGGAGATCTGGCGTTGGCGAGACCATACGCGATGAGAGTGGACAGAAGATACCCAGCTTCTCAAAACGCTTGGAGCATTGGGCCGAACAGTTGGAAAGACAGCTTAATTAATCATAGTTATCATCTTCCTTTTACGGCATTGATCGATCTTCTCTCTGAGTGATCCACCTGGATCCGCCTTCGCGCGCAGAAGCCGAACGTGAGGCCAGACGAAGTAAAATAAGGCCGTAGGAGCATATGGTCTTCTTTCAACCATCTTCAAAGCCGGGGACCAGCTGTTGTGAATGAATTACATAAGTTACTAGTGAAGCTGAAGGAGCAGGAGACTGTCTCAACCACTGGAGCAGCTCCACTAATGTGTCAACCTTCAAAGAAGGCTCACGTCTAGAATGCGGTAATCCTAAAAGAATCAGTCTGATCACATCTGTCTCCAAGTTACTTGTCTGTCGTTCTGCATAGACCGAATGGCAAATGTGAAAGCTAGATTCGTGAAAAGTAAGCAGGGTTTTATCGAAGTCGCAGCCGTACTGATCGCATCTACATATTACGTCAATTATTGGAGCACCGTAATATTTATTGGCGACCTAATGTAGTTATGTTCTTTGGCTTCAAATGTGCCTTCGATTCGGTTAATCAATGTGCCCCTTGGGACTGTCTACTCAAGAAATTTGTGTCCGAAAAATACGTAAATATTATTCGAGCGCTTAACGTGCGTAAATTCGGCGGATTGAGGGCTTACGGCAATCTGACGCCGCCATTAAGTATCTCCAGCGGTGTGAGACAACAATGCCCGCTAACGCCATTCCAGTTTAACTCCTTCATCGACAAAGTCACGGAGATTGCATTCACTTGATACGACTTAGGTGTGGATCTGATCCCAAGTGAAAGAATTAATGACTTGGAGTACGCCAATGATATTGCCCCCATCTGTGACAGCTTGCAAATCTTCCAAGTAGCACTGGACAAACGGACATTGGCTGTCAGTCATTTCGAGTTATGCTTTGCACCCTCGAAATGCAAAGTCCTTCTCCAGGAGTGGCAGGGACGCACCGCTGCGCTGACCATTGAGGGGGATCAGCAAGAAGTCGTCGAAAAATGCAAGTATCTAGGCAGTTATATCAACGCCAGTGGAATGGAAGATAGGATCACGAGCTTTATAACAAAAGCTCCAGGTGGTTTGCCAACCTCCACCACTTGTGGCGCCGGTGCGGCATCACTCACGCCCTGAAGGGAAGAGTTTATAATGCTGCCGTTCATTCAATGTTCGTGTACGGGTGGAAAGTTAGCCCATCAATTCGACAGACATAAAGAAGCTAGTTACCTTCGATCATTGCTGCATTTGCAGCTTAGCTCATGTACGGTGGGAACACTGTGTGAGCAATGGGCGTTTGGCGTCGCGCATTTGGTGTAGAAAAAAGTGAATGAGCCACGCAGCATCGTTATACCACGCACCAGGCTCCAATGGCCGGGCCACGTGTTGCTCATGCCAAGACCACGACTCACGCGACGTGCCTCGTTTGCGCTCCGGAGACATGGATGGAAGATGAGAAGAGGTGAAGGAATGATTTTGTTAAGAGGAATGAAGTCCCTCACTCCGAACTTGGCGTCGGTTGGTGCATCCCGACGATGAACACGTTTGGTGGGATACACTAGTCGACTTGTGGAGGAACAGACCTCAATGGTGTTTATGTTGTGAGTTACTTTGTCTCTCCCCCTCCCATTTATCTTCTCCCTCCTACCATGGTCTTGATCATGAAGCACAAGATATTACTAAGCAGTATAGTACCAGTTGATTTTATGTATGCCATAATATCTCAGCTCTCGTCTTTTCATATATTTTACATTTTGTATCGCGGCACAATAGTTGTGGTGTTCCTCACATTCAGCTAATGTGCAATGATGATGATGATGATGGGTTTAAGCACTTCATAAATAGAGGCATTGGATACGGCCTACTTATCTAGTTTAAGAAAAATGGCAGCGAACAAATCTAAGAAAGGTCGAGGAGTTAAATAGTGTAACAGAAAACAGTCAGCAGGTTCGTCGGTTTCAGTGTCTCAACCCGCGAATAACTTCGGACTTTAGGATTAACTGAATGCGTTGGTAAGCCACGGAGTATGCCGGGAATAACAGTTCGTTACAACAACTCATCCATTGTGTGGATCCGAGAAAGCAGTAGCTAATGAAGCGATAAATAAGATCCACTTACGTACCACCAGTTGACATCCGCGTTGGTACAAACATTTAGAAGAGATCAGTCGGTCCAGCCGTTGCCATCGCTTGCTACGTCACACGGATCCAGTGAAACACTACAATCCGCAAAACTAAAGCGAGCGAATATGAACTAGTGAGATGGAAACTAAACGGTGTACCTAGACTCTACGGCTTTCCGTCGGTACCGAGAGCATGTAACGACTCACCAGCCACACCCCTTACGCCCAATGTAAGAATGTACCGCCAGAATGGTAGTTGCCAAACTTATTTTGAAAAGGCACCGAGAGATGATAGATAAAATTCTTGGCTATCAGTATGAGTAAAGTGACTATAAACATTATAATCTGGTGTCTTACTGGTCTTCGGGGATCAAAGCAGTGCAATTTAAGTTGATCTTTGCCATGGTGGGTGATAGATTACACCGAGAACTACAACTACACGGCTTCTATAAGTTGCAGCCGTTGCTCAGCCAAAGAAACCGAGTCGGCCAGGCCGCACAAAACAAAATCTGAGTTATTGGAAATGGAAAGACAAGGTGCAATTTGTGGAAAGGTTCACACGTAACAATCGTTTTCTACGAATTGGACTTCGTTGCATATCGACTGCATCGAAAGATACCGAGTAGTGGTGGTTATCAGTCGGCGAAATCAATCCATGGAATTCAATATAGAAATTTTGTTTTCCTTTGAAAAGACACTGATCGATAAATCGGTAACAACTCTCCTAACATTAGGGTATTTCTGGCTGATGTAGGAATAACAAGTGACGTCAGGGCTCTTAAAGACAACAAAATACGTTTCAGAGACAACCGGAATCCGCATAAAAGGAAATTGGAGAATTGGTTATTGAGAAATATAAAAAGGTATCAGCAGTACGCCGATATGTTGTATCGATGCTTTGCTGCCAAGTAACCACCACCTGCCGAGCGGGGGCTAAGAATACGACGACGGTCGCTCGGCTCCCTATGAGACCAGAACCAGTGGCCTGCGGATTGCAAGGCAGGCGTGTTCTCCTTCCGGCCACCGGCCGGAAGGTTGAAAGGGATAAGACAGTTAAAATTTGCAGTAGAACAACTAAAGTTGAGTAAAGTGTGATTAACTAGCTGTGAACAGCACATGTGACAAGACGATAACGTACTGCCGATTAGATAAGATATAGCAGTATAACAATCATCAAAAGTTTAACAACCATTCAATTCAAAAGCCCGTCCCCAAAATCTTACTGTAATTTCTGGTTTAGAGCCTTCTCAGTACAACAACCGTGTCAGTTTTAACCAGTATAGGTCTGAAACCAGTGTAACGTCGTCAGAGTCCAATGCACCCAGCAATACTTACCTATTGTAATGATTAACTACTAACAGTCTTTCGGCAGAGCGCACCATTCCGGGTGACGCTCACTAAAAGAGATAATGACAGAATGATTGTAAAGAAGGTCTAGGACAAAATGATGGACGACAAAAAACAATAACAATAAACAGCTTTGCAGAAAACTTACGTTCTTCTTCAAATAACTCACGGACACCAGGAAGATCACGTGCAGCGCCATAGTATCTGTACCCCCGGTTCCCGGGAACTTCTTTACCCTCCTTTTCTAACATTTTCGGTGCCTCGGCCTAAAGATGTGGATAAGTAAAGTAGACAACCTTAAAATCTGGACCCCCGATATTTTTTATATGATCCTCCCAGTGGCCCTTCTCTCTAACAAGTTTGTTTATGTCATCATTTAAATCCCGCAGCTTGTATTCATCTAGACTGGCTACGAAATTGGTGGCAAGAAGAAACTCACGGTTCTGAATTTGAGCGATCTTCCTTGAAATATCATGTATAATTTGGCGTCGGTAATACAAGGCATCTTTTAAACTAGTGCATTCTGTAGCGATATGAGGCCTCTTCTTAGTTTCTTGTACGCGATCAACGTAGACAGCACGCCATCTCGCCAACGCAGTCCTGAGGCAAAAACAATTAGGGCGCTAATGGACGCGTACATTGCCTTTTCTGCACTTCTTGCCTGAAAATAAAATGAATTAGTTGCAAATTAATGACCAACCATTGCCCAAAGCTAATAAGTCAGTCAGGAAAAAGTGATTGCAGTATGCGTCTGTTCGAGGATCCGGAGGGCTTTCGCGTCCAATGTGTATGTATGTTGTAATGAAGCTGGGAGGGGCTGAAATGCAACCAAACACATGATAGGCGGACGGATAGTTTCATAACATCTACCAAGCAAGAGACGGATTTGGATAAGAGATGCGCTTAGCTAACATCTCATGGCGAGCTGGATGCCGTTGCCATAGCTGTCGAGAGAAGACCGAGACTGCGCTGAGCGGGCGGTCCAAACAACGACGGGAAATGGCCGCTTTAGTTCTTGTTCAAATGAGACCGGAACGATAGGACGATCTCATGTATTCCATCCAGGAGTTGATAGGATGCTTCGCAATCTGGGTGAACCTAGACAAAAAATCGCATCACAATCTGATCAATCAATGACTGCAAACGTATCCTACCCCCGTAGTGCCTTCTGGGCCGGTTATGTAAAATAAGAAAGCAGAAACAGTAAAATCAGAAGGCAAGAGGAGCGTGACTAAATAATTACAGCAGAAAGGTGTAGGAAAGGGAATAAACAAGGAAAGTGAAAGAGAAAGATTGGAGTCGGTTAGAAGAAAGGAAAAGCTTAGTGTTGCCAGCAAAGAGCATCGAGCTGACGTTCATAACTCGCAACCGTAGGCTTCCAAATCCAGTAACCCGGAAGTGAGTCACAGCGCAAGGTACCTTGGTGCGGCAGATGAGTTCTCGTCCTAGTCCGAACACAACGCGGTTGCGTAGCTTCAACGGTTGAACGCAGGGATCAGATAACATAGCTGGACTAAACAGTCAAGATACATTTGAGATGATCATTGCCGTCGAAATATGGTAAATGAGGATTAAATCCACTATAATTTTCCGGTAGTGCACTGAGTACATTATCAAACTAAGCAAATGTTCGGGATAGGTCTGTCCCGAAAAACATGCACTAACCTAATAACCACTTGCAGAAACCTCATTTAGCTGTTTTTCCTCTCACACAAGGCGTAAGGGACAAGACTGGACACCATATCCCAAGTAATATAGCACAAAAGTCAAACAGTTAGGTTGTTAATACTCTTTTTCCGGGTGTGCCTGTCAGTGAGACTGTGAAAAGTCACATGATGCCTGCGCCTAATGGGGGACTAAGGATGAGTTGCGATGCACCACCCACAGCCTCATCCACATACCCAATAAACAGTGTAAACCGGAAGGAATAAGACTGGCAGGCATGTTGATGAGGGGTCACGATTGATTCGGAGCAAGGCTACACTCCTTAAACATACACATTATCCATTCATTTGAACCAGAGGGAAACATGCATACCAGACGTACCCAAAGTGGTGGCTGGGGCATAACCCCTTCTACAATGGATGGAATCATTCATTTGGTGAAGCACAGTCACGAAGACTGTACAGTCCGTCACCACAGAAATGAGCAACAGTCTCCTAAAGCCAGTAACCGAAGTGGATGGTTTTTAAACAAGTAGACAGGTTGCAGTCCGAATAGGGATATAAGAACAATTACCTAAAATGGAAAAATCACAGGCATAGGCACAGACCAGCAGTTGCGACGATGTACCACACGTGCCATATTTACCGATTATTGACCAGGTTTAGCAAATGAAATCGGAAGCAGCGCACACACCAAGCGTTGCTATTTATCTACTCGTTTAACACATCGACACTACGATATTGACCCCCACCATCGCAATGAGACTAGACCATACCGTCGTGCGATGGTTAGCGTGCCTAAGAGACCCACTGCGCTATGCTGGGTGGTGCTTTTTGCACCCTCAGAGCCACTCATACCAGAGTGGTCAATGGTTAGAGGCCAGTCTCCTGGTCCTCCAGGTTGGAGGTTGGAATGACAGTGGCTCCTTATTCCTTAAAACGGACTCCTTGTAGCCCAACGCCGAACCCGCCGCCTTGCGGTCAGGTTTTGAAACTATAGGCTTTGGTTCAGAACCCTAATCGTTCTCCTGCCTAGGCCTGGGCAACCTAACAGTATTCTGAGCACGTAATACAATGAATTTCTCTGCAAACAGTTTCTTGATGCTCTAGCCACCGCAGTGGATAGTCTACGGTGCCCTGTCTGCTGCATCGAGCAAGGTGGATAGGGGTTTGGATGCTACTGCCCAAGCCTTCCCGTCTTCCTATTCCCCCACTTACGCGGTTTCACTCTCACAGTCCCGTTCCAGCTTCACTTTTATCCCCCCTGTCTTCAACCCCCTATTCTTGGCCCTCCTCCACCTTGCCTTGACAGGCTTTTACCTTTTAGTTTCAACTCACATGTAAACGCGGAGTCATTACTGCCCTGTCGACAAGTCCATATCCAAGTAAGCGGCCAAGCTCAGTTCATCGGCTTCCATTTGGAGTCCTCGATCATCCTTACTATTGGTATGCCTCAATGTACGCACATTGCTACAGATCGGTCAACAGGCAGCACTTGCCCGAACGTTAGAGACCCTCTCGATCGATAGCTGCTGCGTATCGGGGACCCGCCTGCAAGACTAGAGCTCAGTGCATATTTTGCGATCCGCTTCAGGTGACACCAACAGCACCTTCTCATTGCGCCTATCCGGTAACGATGCAGCTTCGAGCACCGGCCAAGCCGGTGTTGGTATTGCCCTGAGTCCCCGGGTTTAAGCTGCTCTGGTTGATTGGATTCCAATCAGTAGCCGGATGTGTGCCGTACGATTGGCTGGCTCGTTCAAAGCTTCGAAGCCGCACTTGACTAACAGGTGTCTATTCATCATCTCTGCCCATGCACCCACAAAATTCAGCGATGAATCGGTAAAAGACGACTTCTATCGTCAACTGAATGAGCTCCTTAGCCACAGAAGAAACGCGGACATTGTTGTGCTGGCTGGGGATCTGAACGTTCAAGTTGGAAAATTATCCACTGAGGAACTGCATCTGGGTTACCAACATGGCGTAGGCTCCCGTAATGATAACGGTGAGCGGTTACTTCACTTGTGTATGGATGCTCGCTTATTTCTTGCGAGCACTAATTTCCGACACAGCACCCGCCGGAGAGTGACTTGGCGCCCACCAGCCTCGAACCAGCTATTGACGCAAACCGATCACATTGCGATCAGTTACCGCTGGAGAATGTGCGTCCAAAATTGTCGCTTGATTTGGAGCACATGTGTGGGCATCATCCATGCACTTGTATGTGCTGATCTGCGGATGCATTTTGGCGGACGCCCACGACGACGTTGTGAGCGCATTTATATAAGCCAACTGGCGAAACCAACTGTTCTGAATGCCTATCAAAGTACGCTATCATGCGAGTTGTTTAAACGCTCACTGGTCGCATGTTCACCAGACCTTACTAGCAGCAGGCAAATCTTCGTTTGAAAACGGTAATCGCCAACATGGACATTGGGTCTCTTCGCAGTCTTGGGAACTTATCGATGCTCGCCGGCATATTCCGGCTGGAAGCGAATAAAATGAAACTCGCAGAAACCTCATGGAAATATTCCGTGCTAACCTGAAGAGAGACCGCGAATCCTGGTGGTCTCATTGTGCTTCAGAGTTGGAAACGGCTGCTGCCTTTGGTAACCATCGTAAGTTATTCCATCTGATACGGGAAACGGGCAGCAGGAGACTTGGTGTTAGTGAAACTATACGTGAAGTGAATGGACAACCTATCCACAACTTGTCAAAACGCTTGTAGCGTTGGGCTGAGTACTTTGGAAAACAATTTAATCGGTCGGAATGGTTAGATTTCCCACGGCCACTGGTCGCCCTGCTCCCTGAGCTGCCGTTTGGAATCGCCTTCTCGCTCAGAAGTCGAACGTGAGATCGGAATGCTGAAGTTGAACAACGTCGCGGGACCAGATGATCTACCTCCAGCCCTCTGCAAATTCGAGGGACCTGCTCTTGTGGATGACTTACATCAGTTACTAGTAAAATTGCGGGAGCAGGAAACTGATCCAGCCGACTGCAGCCGCTCCGTCATTGTCCGAATTTTCAAGCGACAGCGCTTTGTGGACAGCATATTGATATTGCACCGAAGGCTTGAAACTGCTCACCATGATGGGCTAAATAACGTGCTCTGCAAAGAGAAGGACCCCGAGGACAGTTGCACTGCAATCTCGTCGCCACTAGTGGTGAATAGTCAACATGTGTTGGTATTGAGAGGTAAATCCCATTGGTTCGACGAGTTAAGCACGCTGATATCTTTGATAAGTGTTGCTCGGTTGCCCCTGCTGATCAGCTTTAGGTCATCTGCAGAGATATGGCAGGGGTGACTAAGAAGAGGGGCAAAATGGTTTATAAACATAACCACAATGGATCTAATACCGATCCTTGGGGGACGCCACTGTAGGCCATGCTCATACGAGAACTCGAGACGTTCACCCACATAAGAACTCCGACACCCAAGACAAAGTTTATGATGCAAACCGAACCATGTTAATTCATCAAGTAACGGTGATTCATTGAATCAAAATCTTACTAAAGTTGAGGTGGCACACTTCTACCGGAATCCCGTTATCAAGGTATCGAGTAATCCCAACTAAAAAGCACAGTAAGTTAGTGAAGCACGACTTTTTCTCATTGAAACCATGCTGTTTCGCTCGAATTCGATTATGTTCCGCCAAGTGTTCACAAATGCGGTTTCTTAAAAGCTTTTCTAAGCACTTGAGCAGAACACAGGTCAGGCTTACAGGTCTGTAGTTGACGCCGATTTAGAGAAATCCTTGTGGATCGCAACTATGGTTGCTTCTTGCCAATCTTGTGGTAAGTTGCATTCCTGAAGCGACAAGGTAAAAGATTCCGTGACAAGATGCTGATGGACATCAGCTAATTGTATGACTATTGCAGAATGCAGATTATCAGGACCGGTTGATATGAAGAGGTTCAAGTTAGTCATCAGAATGAAGACCTCTTGTGTAGTCAGAACGATGTTCTGCGTTGTGTGATTGCTTGCGCAGTGCGGCTGCGATGGTTCAGCACATCCGTTATCCCACCGATGCAAATTCTGGATGACAGCAATTCCACTGTACCCCTGGCTTTTACGACCTTGCTCTCCTCTTTCACGGTTGGATATCCAATTTCTTCACTTAGAGCAGTTAGTGACTGGAGACAGCTATAATAAC